GGCCCAGGTCTTTTTCCCCTTAAGGTTTCATTGTGCAGGGTCAACATTTACAGGACAAGTGGGGTCTCTCTTTAACGACTTACACACAACATCCTTGACATTGGCTGCCATCCCACAGTAGAACAGGACCCTTGCCTCCTCCCAGGCCCAGGGGGCCCCGTTTCCATTCGCCCTGTTTGTTTGCAGTCCCTTCCTGCCTTCAGAGCATCTGGCCCGAGGGATTGGCTGTTCTGAGGAGTGTGCTCCTTTCTGGTGTTGAGGGGCCACTCTGATGGCCAGTCTGCCTTTTGGCTGTAAGCTAATCCCCGGGGCTGGGTTCCGTTCCAGGTGCGAAGAGCCCGTCCAGCTTAATCTGGTGTGGCCCCGCCTCTGGGGAGGAGGCCTGGCCAGTGTGGTCAGCACCCACTGAGGGCAGTCCTGAGTTGCAGGCTTTCCCGCCCACACAGGCCATGGAGAGTGAGGTCAACGTGTGCTACAAGGAGCTGTGTGGCGCCCGTCCTGGCCACCAGCTCTTGACCAACCAGCTGCAGCGCCTGTGCGTGCTGCTGGATGTCTACCTGGAGACAGAGAGCCACGACGATAGTGTGGAGGGGCCCAAGGAGTTTCCCCAGGAGAAGATGTGCCTGCGGCTTTTCAGGTGCGGACCATCCTGGCCTCGGGCCACGCTCACACATCCATTCCCAGGGGCCTTTGTCTGTTCCCAGTAGAGATGACCATTCTACTCCCAGATTCCCTGAGCATTGCTCCCTTCTTCCTGAAACTTCCCCAGGAACCTGTTTCCTCCCAGCCTGGGTCATCCGTTCTCACACACGGGCTGGGCTCAGGGCAGCGCTTCTGGTCTCCACCTCTTGAAGGTGGGCCAGCAGGTCAGCAGCACTGGACCCTGAACCAGTGCTCTAGGGAAACCAATGGGGTGATATTTGCTTTTAGTATCCACTGTGCTTTTTCAAACTGTTCACCCCACGGATTCCCCAGGACTCGGCTGGGGCCCTTTGAGGGGGAAGGGCAGCTATAGGCAGCCAGGTGGGGCTTTGGCGAGATTGAAGGAGTTGCAGGCTCCGAAAGGCAGGGCGAGAGGCACTTCACCGCAGCTCCTCGCCTGCTTCCTCAAAGCTGAAGTGGAGGTGATGACTTGTAGCTCGTGAGGAATTTAGAAAGCATCCTCTCAAGTGCCTGCATGGTTCCTGGCACAGGTGCTCAGAAAATCCTGTTTGGTGTGTGGAGTACCAGGGATCATATCGGTGGCTCCTGTGAGTCCGTCTTTTTGGTGTTGGGTCCTTTCCTACCTAACTTCTAGACCAGATTGTCAAGAGTCCATTTCCAATGCCCAGGAGCCCCTGCTCAGATTCTCTTCTAGACCAGGGGTTGGGGGGACAGTGTTTTGTTCTAATAGGTCCCTAAGCAGGCCAGCCCCTGGTTCTCTCTCTTCCCTCCCCTTCATCATGTTCCTGTCCTAGAAGCTGTCTCCGCCTCCTCCCACCTCCGTCTAGCACAGTGGTTCTCGACCTTCCTAATGCTGCGACCCTTTAATACAGTTCCTCATGTGGTGGTGACACCCCCCCCCCATAAAATTATTTTTGTTGGTACTTAATAACTGTCACTTTGCTACTGTTACGAATTGGGTGACCTCTGTGAAAGGGTTGTTTGATTCCCCAAAGGGGTCACGACCCACCTGTTGAGAACCACTGGTCTAGCACCTCTAGCTGGCCT